ATTGCTGCCACACCTCCCCCCCGGCCTGTGCTTCGAGGTTTCTGGTAGTTAGAATGACTCGGGGGGTGTTGATTCATTTAAACTAACATAATCATCCTGCTGCAACCAGGTTTCTGTAAGGCAGAGTAAATCGATTTGTTGATCAATTATTAAGTCATGTTGTGGAGGTAAGCATATACGACACAGAGCTCTTAATTCTCACTCCTTCTTTATTCCTCTCCAACATCAACTGAACACATCGCGCCACAAAACACAGCAACACACACTTCCTCAACACTGGGTGTGAGTGGAGCCCTCTAGTGGTCCACCACACATGCCCTAACAACCAGCAGAACTCGTCCCTTTAAGCAAACGGCCTGAACGGCTGAACCGGGGGGGTGGGGAACTGGCTGAGGGAAACCCAGCCCGGGAGCAAGGCTGGCACTGGCGGTCAGAAAAAGCTGCAGACAACTCGGGCTCCATTGGTTGTGGGGCGCTCCTAGGGGAAAAGGCAGAATCCATCAGCCCGGTGGCAGGTGGGCGGCCGTGGAGAGGGGCCTGGGCCGGGACCACCTGATCATCTTGCAGAACATGTGCTGGCTTAAGTCTGTCAACAGAGACAACCTCCTGCCAAAGTCCAAAATGTCTCAGTTAAGAATTCCCCGAGGTCTTCGTTAACCGCGCTACGCAATCCCAGCAAAACCCAAGGAAGACGGTCGACCCAGTCGTCACCTGTTAAGGAAGCCGGAGTGTGGCCTTGAGTGACCGGTGAAACCGCTCGCACATCCCATTAGCTTGCGGGTGGAATGCTGTGTTTCGGTGGACCTTGACCCCCAGGCCGTCAGCCATGGCAGATCAGGAAGTGATACTCTACCGCAGAGCGAGACAATGCTAAACTTAATCATCATCTTGACCTCCTCTGACGACCTGTTTGCTGCTGCCTGCCACAGAAAGGCAGTGTTAGAGGGGACTCTTGAGCAGTGCATTTATCGCAGCATATATTGTGTTTTCTGGATACACTGCTGCTTTTTCAGCGCTCAGAGATTGATGGCTCTGTATCAGAGCTGGCTATGAATTTCTGACGGATCAGGCCTTAACTTAACAAAAAAGTTATCAATCGTTCTTTTCATCTTTTCTCATTACCCACAGCTACATCCATTCTGTCAGGCCTAGGCTACTCACTAGGGCTTGGTATCATCACTGATTTCTATAATCCATCTGATTCCGATTCACAAGGTCCCGGTTTGATTCAATTTTGCTTCTGATCATTTATCAGTACTTATACATGTGAGACTTTATCAGAGGTGTGAGCATCACAGCAGAGGCCTTTGTGTCAAAGTAACTGAGGATCTTGTTTTGCTGCTGGTTCAGTGAATTTTGGTTGGAGAGAGATAAAACCTGCAGCTCAGAATCCAGCACAAAAAAAGGCGTAAACACAAACCACGGACCCACCGACGCATCAGAATCAGTGAGCTGTCGGCTTTCAGCCCCAATGGCGTGTCCTTGTATGGGCCATCGGGTGAGAAAGCCGACAGCTCACTGACTCTGATGCGTCAGGTCCGCTCTGTGTTTACGTCTTGTGTGGAATCCGTTTACCTGCTCTCATTTACTGTTTGGTGGTTGTTGAAATAGTTTTTGAGCTTTACTGCTTTATTTAAGCTACCCACCTCTCTCTATCCACCTGCACTTTCAACAGGACCACAGCCAATCAGAGAGGTCCCGCTCCTGACTATCTCTGATTGGTTTAGATCACGATAGAGGCATAATGTGTGTCTGTTGTTGACCACATGGAGACTTTTCTTTTTTTACTCAAACAGTTGGTCGCACCGGTGTGACCTAGGGTTTTTTTTAGTCGCACCATTGAAAAATTTGGTCGCATTTGCGAACAAATTGGTCGCACTCTAGAGCCCTGCATTATGTTTTATCATATTTGACATCTCTAGTACAACACTTATATTAATATAACGCTGAATGCAAGTATGATTCAAAAGAATAATTAACATTTAACATCACTTCTTGTGATGGTGTTAAAATCAGCCCAACTTTTATTTTCAAATGTAAAAAGGTATATGAGCCAGCATGCTGGACACTGTTCTGCTGAACAACAAACAGTTATATTACCATCATTGTTATAATCTTACAATGAAACAAAGTCTCAGATTTAATTATTCTGAAACTAAGTTTAGGCCTACCACAACTTTGTTTTGAAAGTTATCTTACTGATATAATCAATATAAAATGTATTTATTGTCTGTAGTTTAAACAACACATTTGTTTTTCATTCCAACACAGGAGCTGGTATATTCTAATATTTTAAGGATGGCTTGTTTCCAGTCCAGGCATCACTGCCTGAATGACTATCATGGATCGAGGTGATCCAAATGTAGGTGCAGAAGAAAGTCTTTAACTTCCCTTCAGTACAGTGGCAGTGGATGTGGGTTGGAGATGCAATGAGCTTGAACCTGCAGGCGACCATCTTCACTGACAATCTTTGACGGAGGACTCATCTCTCCTGGTGTCCTGCAAGCAAACAAACATATTTTTTAGAACACCAACATATTTGCTTTCTTAAAACATTTTTTCTTCATTTACTATAGAATAGACCCCAATTTAGACAACCTCAGGCTCCGTCCCCACCGGAGAGCTGGCATTCAGTGTCCCACCTGTCAGTCTGGATAGCCGTGACCACCACCCCACACACATTAATGTTATGAAAGCATATTTTTAAAAAGGGCTCTGCAAACATGGCCAATAACTTTCATTCTGATGATCTGGAAAATAATTCGGGCACAAAACAGATTGCACTGTTCAAAAACTTGCAGACTTCACTATATACAGTGCAGACAGTGTGGTCCCTCTAAACTAAGTCTATGGGATATGATCTTTGAATAAATGCAGACCAAACTCTCAGTGTTTGTATTTACTTACACAGCATGTCTTGTAGAATTTACTGGGGTCGTCAGCAACAGCATAGTGCAGTCATATCTCAAGTCTAATAAGAGAAGACAGGAAAAGATCATGTTCTGTCTGGGGCATTCAGGGGGATTTTCAAGATGAATGAAAATGTCCGGCTTTTCCTACAGAGGACCCATATGTGTGACTCCATCCCTGAGCTGCTGCTTTGTGAGTTGTTGTTCTGTGCTCACAGACGGGAGAGACAGCATGCAGCAGTGCCTAGTGGTGTTTAAAAGATGCCAAAGCACAACTGCAGCTTTGCAGACAAACTGCAAAAAACTTTCCCTCGTACCGTCCCGGTACTGGTAATCTTTCTTATACAGATGAGGCCTTATTTCTGTACCATTATTTAATTCCAGAGGTTTTTATGTTATTTTTTTGCCCCTGTTGACTTGTAAAAGCCTATATCACATTTTTTAATTTCACCATTAAAAAAATATGGTCACCCTATCTTATCAAGTAGCTGCTCACGTTTCTGTTTCAAACAGTCAACAGAAAATTTCACAGAGAGCTTTTCATATAACATTTTTAAAGCTGTGGGGTTAATTTTTAAGTAACATGAGCCCAGAGGCAGCAGCAATGCTAGGCTAACACTAGCTAGCTAGCAAGTTCATAAACCTGGTGCTAAACTGAGAGAAGGCACATAAACAATTTGAATAAGTGTAAACATTTACTCACCAAGTCAGAGTATCACGTAAAGAATCACAGCAATGACAACAATGATCTCTTGAGCTGAAGCTTCTCCAGGTTTGCTCAACATATTCCAGAAAAAAAGCAGGCATCATGAACATGTGGACTGAGCTGTGTGAGGGACGACATGGCATTTTCAAACCATATCGTTTTATTCTTCCTCACTGAGAAGCAACATTTCCTGCTTACTTAGTTTTCCTAATTTAAGACAACTCAAATAAACTTAGTTTATCAGCTTTTTGAATAAAAAGTACTGGTAACTTACTTAACCTCCTAAGACCCGAACTCTTCCACAGCATGCTTTCTTTGCTATTTGGGCTGATTGGCACCTGATGAATGTAAAAACAAAGAATTACCAGATTTTTTTTTTACCTAATTTTTGTTCCTGAGAAAAATGAGATTGACATATGAGGATATTTGTTTAAAATTTCGATAGAACAGTGGCAGTATAATGTCCTCGTAAGTGGATCAGGCCCTTGTAGAGCAAAATGTAGTATTTTGGTCTAGACAACCGAAAATGTGATGTCCACATATGTGGACGCAGGTCCTAGGAGTTTAAACTGAGTTCTAATAACAAATTGATAAAAATTGAGCTCAGTCTACTTGATATTTTTAATTAAACACAATATTATATTTTACAGTGCATAACTGAAATGAGGGATAGAGTAAAACAAACAATAACCCGTCATTGTCCTGGGTATTTTGAGTTTTTTGTGGGGTTTGGCTCCTTTTTTCAGAACTCTTGTGTTAAGCCTTTTTATTTGGTAATGTTAGTAGGTTGTTATTTTCCATTGTGATGTATTATTCTCTTTTTGTATTCTAAATTGTCTTGTTTTGTGATTCCTTTCTGTCTCCCCATTATGTCCCATTTATGTCCCATTTATGTCCCCGTGTCTGTGTGGTCTCCTTTGTCCTTTCTCCATTTTCATCTGGTTTCCATGTTTAATTATGTCAAGTCAGTATATCTTAGTCCTAGTCCTAGTGTTAGTTACTTCCTGTTTTATTTTGATAGGCCTTCATCTCGTATGCATTATGTTCAGTTTTGTTTCCCTTAAATAGATGGAATGACTCTATTTAACCACGTCCTCAGACTGTCCGAGGTCTTGGTGGTTATGATAGGGATGAACTGCTGACCCATGCAAATGATTTCAAGAATTTTAAGACCTTTTAATAATTAAAGATAAAATGGTGCAAATAAGTTGCTAAGACAAAGACAGCATGCTCCATCTTTATTGTTATTTTTAGTGTACCCAGTATGGAAAACTACTAATTAAATTACTTGGCATCATTTCAAGAGTCTTTTGAAAATTGCAGTGACATGAATTAAAATGTAAGGTTTAAAAGTAAATGAGTGTTCTACTACTTTAACACATCAGATGAATTATACCTCCCGCCCATGAGGAAAATTGATAGTATGCTCAGTGAACAGAAGAAGAAGTTGTTGAGGAGAGTCAACATGAGTGCTCAGCACCAGGTAAAGCTTCATATTCTTCTGTTTTGGTTTTGTTTGGCACTTCTTAAATCACTTTGTTTCAGAGATTTGTTGAAGATGATTCCCCATAGTCTAAGTGTTAAACCAGATACATTTTTGTTAACTGAAAACATTTCTTTGCAGAAATCTGATTCTTTGTGGCCTTAAGCTAAACGTGACCTTTGTCTCATGACGCCAATTTACTTTCATCATCCAGGAGGCTTTACATATATTCCCCAAAATGACAGCAGATCCTGTGGAATCTGGAGTTGTCAAAGTTCACCTTGGTGGGGAGGGCTACAACCGCAAGACTCTCAACCAAATCAAGAGGAGCATTCCTAAGCAGCAGGTGAGAAAAAGCTATGACGCTGCACATTTATGTAGTCAATACCCTGTGCCTGGTGTTACAAGCTGAAAGGCAATTTGTTGTTATCCAACAGCTGTCTAATCGCTCTGAAGGTTTTTCAAAGTTTTTCTTTTGACCTTGGCTGCTTTTTCACTAATTTTTAGTCCATTTTTAGAGGAAATATTTTTTTGGTTGTGGAACACTGACCTATGGATCATTCAAGTATAAAAAGGGATTTAAGCCAGTGGTTTGGGGGATCTTGTCAAAATTGACGAAATAATGAAACGATAAACCTACAGTCAGATTTTCATCCACCATACATTACCATCTGGAATGCAACTTATTGGCAACAGCTTTATTTTTCAGCATGACAGTGACTTCAACATTACTGAGGCAGTGTGTAATGGTCTTGAAAGAGACCTGAACAAAACGCAACCAACATCCAAAGAAGAACTTTGAAGGTCCTTCAAGAAGCCTGGAGAATCATTCCTGAAGACGACTTAAAAGAAATACAGGGTAGCTTGCCTGAGAGAGTTGTGTTGTGAGGCTGTGTTGAAGAATAAAGGTGGTCATAACCAAATATTTACAGACTGTCAAGCTCTTTAGAATTGTACAAACTCTGGTTTTACCTTATATAATGCATTTCCCATTTTCCTAACGATAAAGAAATAATGGACTCAAAACTTTTGCACACTACATGAGTACATCATCACACCAGTTAGTCTGAATCTTTTTAATAATTATTATGTGCAGGGCATATGTCAGAGGCAAGATTTAGAAAAATCCACACAGTTCAGTACAGTCAGTACAATTACAATCAGTAAAAGAAAAGCATATAACCTTTTGTAGACACTAAGGATATTTCTATTGACTTTTTCACAAACATTTTTTGTTAGTTTAAATCTATTTTAAAAATTATAGGTTTTATTTTTATTTTAACTAAATAAATAGTTTAACACGTTTAGGTTTAGTTTTTGTTAACTATAAAACCCTTCACCATCACCAGAGGGACCTTTTTTTAATTTTAATGAAAGAAACTGTTACATTTTTTGTAAAAAGGAAACATGAATCTTGTGTCCTGTCTTCCTCCCCTCACCCTCAGCTGGTAGCGGTAGCTCTCCCTCCCTGAGCCTGGTTTTGCCGGAGGTTTCTTTCTGCTAAAAGGGATTTTTCTTCCCACTGTCACCAAAGTGCTTGTCTACAGGAGTTCATACAATTGTTGGGGTTTTGTCTGTGGTATTATGGGCTGTTTACCTTACATTATAAAGCACCTTGAGTTTCACCTTCAGTTTTATTTCTTTGGTGCAATATAAATAAAACTGAATTGAATTGAATTAAACACAACATCACCTCAAGGGTTAAGAAACATCACAGTTTTGTTAAATACTTAGGTTACCTACTATGTGTACAACTTTCTTTAATTCAGTTCAGTTCAATTCAATTTTATTTATACAGCTCCAAATCAAAACAATAGTCGCCTCAAGGCGCTTTATATTGTACAGTAGACCCCAGAGGTGTGGACTCGAGTCACATGACTTGGACTCGAGTCAGACTCGAGTCATTAATTTTATGACTTTAGACTTGACTTGAAAAAATGTTCTAAGACTTGTGACTTGACTTGGACTTTTACACCAATGACTTGGGACTTGAATTGGACTTGAACCGCTTTACTTGAAAAGACTTGATATTTCACCCCAAATATAAAATTTAACATGCATATTATATAGAGATTGAAAATGTGACGTCATTCACGGGTAGAACCGCAAAGGATTCTGGGAACTCGTGGCAAGTGGTACTAGCGCACGCAGGCTTTCAATTAAAATCAGTTATACAGCGATAAAAAGAAACACAAAAATGTCAAGAAGCCGTTGTATTATTAACTGCAATAGCCGGTCGCATGACAGCCACAGGAAGCCGACGGGTAAAGAGATCGGTTGTTATCGGATTACGTCGTTGAAGAGAAATTGTTCGAGCCATGTTTCCAAAGTAACAAAGACGCGACGGATGGTCTGGATTGCAGCCATTCAAAGATCAAATATAACGTCCCAGAACACTCCAGCTCACAGGTTAGTCTGCTCCAAGCATTTACACAAAGGTCAGTGTCTTTTAGTACTTAATACGTCATTTTCATAACATAATTGGTGATATAGGTTACAAGCAAGTCTGGCGCTGAACAGATATTGTCGCGCTATGCTCCTTTGTTTATTGTGCATAAATAGTGAATTGTCCTGACACAATATTGCGTTTCGCTTCTGTTATTATGGTACATTGACAAAAACATATACTTTTATTCACAGGATAAAACAGGTTTTTTGTATCACTAATTGCCCAGTACGATTACAGCATACAGTATTATTGTCACTGCTACATTTCTGTGATGGGTACCAGAAATTATTTCCACTACTAATTAATTACCGTTGAGCTCAAAGGTCCTATTAATAAATGGTTAACGAATGTGTATTTATGAAGACGATTTGTGAGACTGGTAAACTTATGATAAGTACGATGGTCTTTCGTTCTACACGGTGCATTTCAAGGTCCTGCACCCATCCGTCGGTAAACTGTACCTGGGCTTGTTGCAGTGACCAGAAGTTACTAAACTTCATGAGTGTGTGCACTCACTCCAAGAACCATATGATTATAAATATGCATATAAATATGCTAAGATGAGATAGCTGACTTCATCTAACTAGCAAATGTTTTCCAGGCTACGTTGGTGATTCAGTTTTTTTTAATATGTATGATATTTTTGTCATGCGATTTTAAAGCCGGTCCTACAACCGCATCCAAGAATAACATGCAGCTTATCTCAGAACTGTCGGTGAAAATTATTCTTGGAGCTAGGTTTAATTGAGCTGCATTCTAAAGAGGTGCAATTTCACAATTTGTGTATATTTTCTAAGTTCACTATTTTGTCATGTGTTGAGAAAAACACAGATTAAAAAATTACATGGTCTAATATTTACATTTAGCATAACTGCAACATTATTTTTTCGTTGTTTTTTTTTTAAAGACTCGAAAGGACTTGAAATTCAAAGTTTCAGACTTGTGACTTGACTCGGACTTTTACACCAGTGACTTGAGACTCGACTCTGACTTGCCTGACATTACTTGAGACTTGACTTGAGACTTGAGGATAAAGACTTGAGACTTACTTGAGACTTGCAAAACAATGACTTGGTCCCACCTCTGGTAGACCCTACAAGCATACATACAGAGAAAAACCCAACAATCATATGACCCCCTATGAGCAAGCACTTTGGCGACAGTGGGAAGGAAAAACTCCCTTTTAACAGGAAGAAACCTCCAGCAGAACCAGGCTCAGGGAGGGGCGGGGCCATCTGCTGTGATTGGTTGGGGTGAGAGAAGGAAGACAGGATAAAGACATGCTGTGGAAGAGAGACAGAGGTTAATAACAGATATGATTCAATGCAGAGAGGTCTGTTAACACATAGTGAGTGAGAAAGGTGACTGGAAGGGAAAAACCCAATGCATCATGGGAATCCCCCGGCAGCCTACGTCTATTGCAGCATAACTAAGGGAGGATTCAGGGTCACCTGGTCCAGCCCTAACTATATGCTTTAGCAAAAAGGAAAGTTTGAAGCCTAATCTTGAAAGTAGAGATAGTGTCTGTCTCCTGAATCCAAACTGGAAGCTGGTTCCACAGAAGAGGGGCCTGAAAACTGAAGGCTCTGCCTCCCATTCTACTTTTAAATACTCTAGGAACAACAAGTAAGCCTGCAGAGCGAGAGCGAAGTGCTCTAATAGGGTGATATGGTACTACAAGGTCATTAAGATAAGATGGGGCCTGATTATTTAAGACCTTGTATGTGAGGAGCAGGATTTTGAATCCTGGATTTAACAGGAAGCCAAAACAGGAGAAATCTGCTCTCTCTTTCTAGTCCCTGTCAGGACTCTTGCTGCAGCATTTTGGATTAACTGAAGGCTTTTCAGGGAGTTTTTAGGGAGTCAGGTACTTCTGATTAGAGACCTTAGTTTTCACAGGAGCTACAGTATCCAGAGTCGTACGTAGTGAGGAGGTGAAATTATTAACAAGATAATCGACCTCTGTTGGGGTAGCGTTCAGGTAGCTGCTCTGCTCTGTGTTGGTACAGGGCATTGAAGATGATAACAGTGGGTGGATTATATTCTTAAACTTAGTTACAGCGCTTTCAGAAAGACATCTACTGTGATAAAGTCTACTCTCCACCGCTGTGTAATCAATTATTGTAAATGTAAATGTTATCAGGAAATGATCAGACAGGAGAGGGTTTTCAGGAAACACTGTTAAATGTTCAGTTTCTATGCCATATGTTAAAACAAGATCTAGAGTGTGATTAAAGTGGTGGGTGGGTTCTTTTACATTTTGAGAGAAGCCAATTGAGTCTAATAATAATATCTAATAATAATCTTGTGTTGCTTTGATCATTAGTTGTACTTTTTCAAATAATACTGTAATTACTAAGATGAAAGACTTTAGTAGAAAGAAACTCAATTCTTTTTCTATCACCATTTTCAGGATATGAAACTTTCGATTGACATTTGCCGGATATACAGTCTGTATCATTCTCTTCACCACTACAAATATCACACCTTCCTGCATTGCAAGAAGGAGGTAAGGATTTTGCTGCACTTTTGCTATAATACCCAGTGTGTATTATATTAGGGATACAATAAATGATATAACATAAACCACCTATATGGCTGGTTTAACAAAGTTACTGAAGTTCCTGTTGGTCCCACGTGCACATGGGGATCGGGGCTTTCAGGCACCAAGCCTGTGGACCTCTCTGTCTTTACACTGTCCAGACTCCGTTGACTCTTAAAAAGCAGCTGAAGACATTTCTATACAAACAAACGTTTATTTAATTTGATCATTGTGTTATATTATTATTTGTATTTCTGATTTGACTGTTGAGCACTTTGTGATCTTTATCTGTGAAAAGTGCTATATAAATAAATTTGACTTACTTACTAACCGCATAAATTTAAAAGCTCCCCAGTCCTTTGTAGCTTCTTTGGAACTACAGAGTGACAACACTGATGTATAAGTGTGAACACACACACTGTATAGACATTATCATTAGCCATGATACTGTAACATAACTGTTGTTTTCTGACTAGACAGACAATATAGAGCAGGCAGCGGAGGACCCTGGCCAGGAGGAGGTGGTGCAGCAGTGTATGGCGAACCAAGGCTGGCTTGAGAGCCTCTTCAGTTCTTTCATGGAACTGCTTACTCTTAGTGCAAAGACCTAAAGGACGATCACAACCTCTGCCTCCAAAAACAAACATCCACCTGCAGCATTAAGTAGGTGGAGGTGTTCAGAATGTGTGAAACAAAGCAATCAGAAACTGGACGCCAGAAATGCAACGAGAGTGGCCCCTATTTTTTTTTAAAGGGAAGGTTACCATTGTAAGTATTTGCTTTATTGCTGTGTCCAACTATTGTACCAATTTATGAAGGCTAGTGAACTATTGGAAAGCAATGGATTTCCCCAAAAGTCAATGAAAGATTATTTGATTAGAACTACAAAGCTGACTTTTGTCAGGACTTACACAGCATGGATATATATGTGCAAGCTGTCTTTTATGTAAGTATGTAAGTAAAATATGTATTTAATGTGGTTTGTATAATTTACACAAATCCATTTTTTAAATGTACTTTTCTCAGATGGAATTGTTTGCAGTTCACATTTTTGAAAAATGTTTTATAGGTGTAAAACCAAATGGCCCGTATGCAAAGCTAAGCTAAAACGAATGGTTTAGTGAGATGAAAGTGAGGTTTAAAAAGACAGTGTGAATGTCTTTTCTTTCTATCTGCATCAGAAAAAAGCAGGACGATAATATATTTAAAACCAAATCATGATGTTTCTGTTTGTTCTTCAGGAGATAATGAATGATTGGGATTAATTCCCTTAATGAAGAAGAATACAAAAAGAATGAAGTACTGCTTTCTTAAAGGAAGTATGAGTTAAAATGATGATAAACCCTTAATATCAGTATTTAATGTCATATTTTTTTTCTGTTTGCTGCTGAGTTTTCCTATAAGTTGAACTCTCTGAGGATATTCTTGCAGAGTCTGATTTGTAAATATTGTACAGCTACTTCATCCTCTAGTTTCCAGTGGCTCTTCAGTACATGCAATTGCTGTATTGGACATACTGCATTAAAACTCTGAAAATAACAAATGCCCCAATGAATCAATAGCCTTGAGCTGAAGTCTTTTCAAGAATGTTTGCATCATAGCTAAGTGGATTTTAGCTAATGCAAAGGCACTGCCCAAACGTTTGAATTGATGTATTTAAGTTTACTGTAGATAGCATCACTTTAAAACAACTGTTCAGTTGTGCTGTACAAGGCAGCAGTGTTCCTTCTTTTTCTGTAATTTAGCCTTACTCTTTGTTGAGAGCTCTAACAATAGTTCATCCATCAGACATTCGAAAGCATGGGGTGGAGTACAGTTTATTTATCTTCCTCTCAGGAACTTTGTATCTCAAGCAGGAATCGTGTGATGCAAATCCAATTCAGCATAGAGTCCTAGTAAGGATTATTTTGTAATCTGTTTCTCTAAACATGATACACAAGGACATTAAACCTAAGCAGTCCACAATATGCAAATGAATACTGACAAAGCTCCAGGTCAGTGAGAGAAAAGGATATGGCAAACCTTTTTGGGAACACCGACCGAATCAAGCACTCATGGGAAGACCGAACTGTGGGGTGTAAGTGTGCAGTAGAGAGAGAATGACACAGTTCATCAGTGTGCTGTGTGGTTGTAGTGCTGTAAATCCAAAGCTTATAGAAATTAGGGGTGGGGCTAGGACAGAGAGAAGAGAAAGAAGATTAGCTGCTTCAAAGGTTTCTTCGGTGATAAGAAGCTGCCAGTGGTTGTGTGTCCTTCTCTTTATTACACCAGCAGGTGAGTGAAAGATGTCTGGGTTACTGTTGTAAAACTCAGAGGAAACTTCAGTGTCGTTCAGCACTTCATAGATACAACAACAACAACAAAAAAAATCCAGTATATGGTTATCGTGCAAATGTATTTATACAAGCACTGAATTTTTTATTAGATATTGTTCTGTCAAATTTGACATGTGCTTTAATGATTGTACTTTATCTCAGATCATATTTGAATGAAGTTAGTTCATTATCAAAGTTCATTAAAATACTTAGTTAAAACTTTTTATTTGAAACTTATTTTTGGTGATAAATTTCTGTCCTGTCTGATCGTCTTTTAGTTGTATTTGCATTTGGCTTTGATTTCATCCTGTTTTGTGCTGAGGCTTGAAGCATGGTTCCAGACATAGAGAGAATTATTGAGAGCATCGTCCGCAGAGACCAGGACAGCGTGCAGCTTCTGCTCAACAGCTACAACACACAGGTCACTATTCTCTGTTACAATTACTGTGTTGCTATAGAAGTATTTATTTATGCAACAATGGAAACAGTTTTTCTGTACCTTCGACACTGTAAGCTAAAAATTTTAAATATTACTTATCATCATATAATCATTACAGCACTTCAGCAAAAAAATCAGGTTTCTTCTTATTTAAAAGTGACTTTGCATTAATATATTAGACACAATTAATTAGCATTATAAATTGGACGTTGCACAAATTTAGAATCTGGTGGCTTCTAGCGGTTTTCCCAGAGACTGAGTCAGTGTTGATTGTCACAGCAGCTAGTTTTCTTGGCCTGGCTAGTCCAGAACCAGAGCTGACCCCTCTAGTTCCTGTCATGGTGCCCGTGTTGGTCTGAGTGGCCTCGCCAGCTCCGGTCTTTGAGCCAGAGCCAACACCTTAGTCCCTATTTTTGCTCTGCCTCCAGCAGGATCCACCTGTATGATGCTGCATTGCTGAAGGAATTCTGGTTCAATCATTCAACCTTTGACAAAAAACAGTTTTTCCAGTTGCTCTTTTAAGAGTGTATGTCATTATTAAAAATATGTATTATCTATATATATATCTATGTTGTGAACCTGCTATTCTCTGAAAAAAGAAAGAAAAAAATGAATATGAATGAATAAGAAATGATATGAAAAACGAGTATCCTTAAAATATTGTTTTTCTGAAATTAAATTGGCACTGTCGTTATCAAATCGCAGTTTGATTGATGTTCCTATATTCTAGGACACTTTGTCAGTGCAAATCTGTGATCTGGCTTTTCTCCGTTTTCCTAACTGCTTGTGTTCTTTCATTTCTCCACAGTATGCAGAGTGCTTCTTTTTCAACACTGAGGCACAGGAGAGGCAAAAGGTCAGCTCTGTGTGCTTCTCTCCAGTAGTTTCATTCTTTTCGTCTATATTTCCTTTGCCATAGCCTTCAGCCACTCTCATGTCAGCACCCTGTCAGTTGTGTTTTGACTCTTAGCGTGATCTCTAAATGTATATTATAAAGCATGCTTATAGCAGTCACTGGAGTATTCTGATTCTTTGCTATTTGTTTTTAGAAAAGTTTTCCTATCTTCATAGCACATGATTTTCCAAGTGCTCAGTGATTATCCCAACCCACCAACAAACAGAGGCTCAGGAATACGTTAGATGATCTGGAATAGACAAAAAAAGTCTTCTTGGATTATTTCTGCTGATTTTCAGTTTGCTTGAATTTCTCTTGCTGCTTCTGTGAGGGGTTCTGCTGCCAAACTAAAAAACAAGAAAAGGGCAAAAAACCAGACTATTAACTGCTGGGAATTCTGGTCTGTTGTGTACCCTTTGACAAAGTTCCTCTTTATTATTTTCATTTTGTTTTTCATCCTCACGTTTTAGCAGCCCTCAATTTTTATGAACTGCAGTTAATAAAGGTAAAATTTGAACCTGAATGATTAACAGTCCCATCTCAAATGAATTTCTTTCCAGCTCATCTGTGCTGATTCTGCTGTCCTCCTCCACCTCAGTCTTCATCTGTTTCTAATGCTTAAATATCAATTCTACTTTTTACATGTATTTCTGTCACTGTTCATGGACTATCTGGCTGCAGCAGCAACAACTGGAAGAGGTTTGGGGCATTGATTTTTTTTAATTAGCAAACATGTACACTAGATAGAAAATTGATAGGATATGCATGTTGGTGTGATCTTAAAACTGGACGCAAACAAACTGATTTCTTTATCTAGATACAAGGAGTTTCTGACTTCCAAATTCCAATTAAAATATATTGGCCATTGCACTGTATGGTAGCCGATCATGGGGTTCCCTCTACATGCAGTATGCACAGTGCAAACCACCAACCAGGCATATACCCACTGATAATGATAGTTCAAAAGAAAGCACTTCATTTTTTAAAATCACCTTAAATCCAGCCTCCTTGCTTTCCCCCAAAGGCGTCCTGTATATCAGCTGGTGCCAACACTAACTGGCTCCTTTCAAACACACCCGATCAAGCTTAGAACAGCACTGTATTATACATCACTAGTATACTACTACCACACGAGTATATATCAACATACCTTTAACATTTATTAAAAAAATTATATTTTGACGTTTTGACAATATTGTTTTTAGGAACTCTTGTGCGAATAAAGCACCTTTAAAGTTAATTATAATTAGATAGAGAGACAGAGAGAGTGAGTGAGCGAGTGCTGACTCAGTATAACAGTAATCCAAAATAATACCAGTGTGTGCATGTGAGTTCCAAAAGCGATTGCTAATTATATTTAGAGCAGCATGTTCTCAAAGCTGCTTGAACACCTCATGACTAAGCATTAGCAGCGCTGACCTTCACTGTGCAGACATGCTAGAGCTACACAAACTATTCTTTTTCCTCTACACTCTCTGTACGCTGCGAATTAATGTCATCGAGATATTTGCTTAAATGATCTTGTAGTTTTCAGTGAAACCACTAAACTTACATACAACTACCACAATAAAAGGATGTGGTATTTGTCTTAAGTACTTCAGTGCTTTTTGGTATTATAACTTTAGTGTAGTACTGTAGTGCAAGTGCTGCAGGATATAAAGTGAAGAGGATGTAAATATCCAAATACAGCATGACTAAAAAAGTGGTCATGTGTACTTGTCTTTATTATCATGCAGCCATGTCATAATCATCACTCAGTCAGCACTGCTCCCTCAGCAGTGAATCTCAGATGAAGCCTGAATGAATGTTCAAACTATAAACATGCTGAGCTTCTTGTGTTGCATTAAACAGACTTTGCAGTGATTCGTGCTATCTCTCTCTCTCTTGGGTAATTAGTTCAGGAAGAAAAAATTCAGGGACTGTGCTCCTGCTTCCGACTCTGACATTGACTCAGATGATGAGAATGCAGAGCTTCTGCTCCGGCAGGTAGGCCAGTGATTATATACCCCTGTGTGTCTACTCTTATGGCTACATGTCCCTGTGTATGCTAACACAAGTCTGCCACACTCATCCCTGTATTTGCACATTTTGCATTCTTTGTCTTTTCTCCTTGCAGTTCATCATTCTAAACCTTCTTCACTGTAACATCTCCCCCCCGACTACTTTTTCAGGATCTGTCTGCAGCCCTGTTGTGCTTCATTGGTAGTCAGCTACAGCCGGCGGTTTTACGGGTTTGCCTGCATACACTGCGTATCCTGTCCCGTGACCGTAGGGCCCTGGGGCACATGGTCACTGATAGTGCCCTTCTCACATTAGCACACATGGGAGGCATCGCCATACCACAGACATGCCTACAGCAAGAAAATCAGGAAGCTGAAGGTGACGTGGGCAGATCATGCAGCACAACCCATATTAGAGCTGTGAGTAGTTGTGAGCAGGGTGCAGAAGCCGGCACTGCCCCGTCTGGGTGCTTTGTGGTTTCATTTTCTGTTCTTGCTGAAGGAGCTGTCTCTCCAGCCACACGTGGTTCAGTGAATCACTGCTATCAGCAGAAACATGATGGAGTGCATGTGGCGCTCTCCCGTGGCAAAAAAGACACCCAACAAGATAACAGTGAGGAACAAGAGGAGGATGGAGAGGTGTGCAGGAAGGAAGCCTTGAAAGTCTTGTGTAATGTCATCTACAACAGCCCCCGGGCACAGGAGAGAGCCAGTGCACTAAGGTGACATTTTTAAAAATGTGTCGACTTGGTCGTAAAGTTGCCTTCCAAGCTACAAGTTTCATTCTCTGCTAAGAAAACGATTGGCAATAAAGTCTCAATAAAAATGTCAAATGAAGGCAAACAAAAACATCAGAATGATACATTTGAGACATCTTACAGGATGCAATGTC